TGTGCCTCTAATTCCAGCTACTCAGGAGGCTGACATGGAGAATCACCTGAGCCCAGGGAGGCTGAGGCTGCAGTGAGCCGTGGTCTCACCACTGCACTCTAGCCTGTGCGACAGACTGAGACCCTGCCTATTAAAAAAAAAAAAAAAAAAAGAAAAAAGAACTGAAATAAGACCCAAGTCCAACATTTGCAGAACCTCTCCAGAATGTGCACAAAAAGGACTCTGGGGTTCTGAGGAACAGTCTAGGCAAACCTGGGCACATCCCCTCAGTCCCACAGTTGTAAATGTATTGTAACACATAACAATTGTGAGATTCAGGCACAGTCTGGGTCTCTGTTCCTGGAAAGTGTGATCCTCTGGGCACAGCCCCTGCTCGCTTGGCTGTGTTGCCTGCCTGGCCCCTGCTCTAATGAGCCCACTGCTCAGAGTTTGCTCAAACCACCCAATTCCGAGTCTGGGAACCAGGAGATGGCTGGACACCCGCTCACCACACAGAAGACTGTGGCCTGAGTCAAGAGAAGTTTCTGGCGGTTGAGCTTCCAGGGCTTCCTGAGCGAGGTTGCAGTGAGCCGAGATCGCGCCATTGCACTCTAGCCTGGACGTCGCAGCGAGACTGTCTCAAAAAAAAAAAAAAACCCAAAAAGAAAGAAAAAAAAATTCTGAGCAAGATTCCAGGGCTTCCTGAGGGCGCGTTTAAGTTGTAGTTGCTGAGAATCTCAAGTTCTTGTGGAGGCTGCAAGGTGAGCTTGCCTCAGCGAGGAGCCACTCCAGCACGCTCGGGGAAGGGCATCATTACTGCTGCAACGAACCGTTTGCAAGTGAAGGCGCACTAACAGGTGGAAGGACTACAAAGAAACCCAGAAACCAGACCTGGACACATGAAATACAGGGTTTAGCTGAAGAAATACTCCACAGGAAAGGACGGCCTGCGCGAGGTCACCCACCCCGTCTTGGTTTTCTGCCACTTCGCTCCAGTTAGTTCCCCAAGTCCGCCCCCACGCGCGCCCGCTGAGAAAACGCCCACCACGGCGGTCCCGCTGCAGGTCACAGGCGGTGCAGACCCCGGGACTGTGTCCAGGCTTCGGTGTCCAGGGAGCTCCAGGCACCCGAATCTTCCGTGGTTTCCACCTCTTCACGCTCAGGTTCCGCTCAGCTTAAGCTGAGGGGCGACGACCTCAGGCGACGTCAGTTTCCCTCCGGGACCACGAACCCACGGCCCCATTTCTCTCTTTTTTTTTTTTTTTGAGACGGAGTCTCG